TTTTAAGTTGAAGAAAAAAGTCAGAATATCCTACAGCAAAATGAGCAAGACACAGAAAATTCACAAAAATATAAAAAACAGCAAAAGATATTCAATGTCATTTACAATAGAAATGCAGTTTAAAACTACACTGTAATACCACTTCCACCAAACATACTAACAAAAATTCAAAAGCTGGATAATTTACAGTTTAGTAAGGCTTTAGAGAAACAATTGACCAGCAATGTGTGCAAAATGTCATGTGGCAGTTTTAAAACAGTACACAATTTTTCTGGACACTAGTCTCATGGGGAGGTGGAGTCTATGACCCTACCCTTGAACTGGGCAGACTTGTGATTACTTCCCCCACTGGAGTACCACAGAAGCTATGCTACAGGACTTGAAGTCAGGTCATAAAAGGTCAGGTAGCTTCTGTCTGACTGTCTTGGAATGCTCAGTCTCCTGACAGGCCCTCTCAGAACCCATGCTGTCCTTTCTGTGAAGAAACCCAAGCTATACTGAGATGTCATATGTATGTTCTGGTTGACAGTCTGAACTAAGCCCAACTTCAGTTAATTTCAGTCCAGGCACCAGATGTTAGTGAAGAAGCTCCTGCATAATTCTAGCCCCTAAATGTTATAGTCATCTCCTAGTCATCTGAGACTTCCAAATGGAAGTTCTAGGCACTGTGGAGCACAGACAAGCCACCCTACTGTCCCTTACCCAAATTTCTGACCTAGAATGAGAGAGTGTAATAAAAGGACTGTACTACACAATTAAGTTTGGAGTGTATTCTTAAGCAGCAATAGGTAACCATAACATGGCATATCCCTATGGAAGGGAATCTGAAAATAGCTAATAAAACTATTATTAATTTACCCTTCATCTCAACAATCTCACAGGAATGTACTTTGAAGATATATCATAACAATATGAAGATAAATATGCAAAAAGTTATTAATTGCAGCATTATTTAGGACTTCAAAATTCTGGAAACTACCTAAATATCCAAACATAGGACAACAGATACATAAAGAGTAGCACACACATCAGAATATCACGCAATCAAAAAAAAAAGACTGAGGAAGATTTCTACAAGCCAATATGGAAGGACTTACAGGATATATCAATTAGGGAAAAAAGCAGAATGCAAAATGTACACTTTTTGTGCAAGAAAGAAGAAGAAAACATACATAAGTCTGCTTATTTTTCTGGAAAAAACAGAGTAAACCAGAAAACAAAAAAACTGGTCATCTGCAAAAAGAGCAAGGGTGGCAGGGTTGAAGAGAAAAGGAAAAGGATTGAATTCTGAGTATACATTTTTTTATGTGTAGCTTTAACTTTTGGAAGTACACCAATGTTCTAGATACTGGAAATGTAAATTCAAACAAAAAGGTTGTTGGGCAAAGAGTTAACACTGAATGTAACCTAAGTAAATGAACCCAGCTGTATTTCAAATAAACAAAACGACCACACTGAAGGAGGGTGGGGGACTTCAGACACAGCATTATTTTTCCTACATAGCCTCAGTCTGGGGAAAACAGGAGTGTAAACAAATTGTAAACTTATAGTACCTTTGTTTGTCATAGGGGCAAGGATGTAGAAGTTAAACTGTATCATGTGTACTGTAGGACTGAGAGAAGAATCAAGGGCTCATGCTGGGAGCTACAGTACTTACTGTGGAAGTGGAGAGAAAAAAAGTGGAACGGGGAAGGCAAAGAAGAACCCTGGAGGCTGGAGTGGAATGAGAGCATCAGTACAAATTCATGATTTCACATAGGTATTTTATGAAATAAGCACTCACATACACCGACAACATACACAAGTCTACACACTTTTTAAAATACAATCTTTGAATCTCTAAGGATGAGGGAAATTTGGTCATTCACACATGACTATAAAATGAATTAGGACTGCTGCAATAACCAGCTATAATCAGCCACTCCAAGAGAAGAGCACTTTTCTGAAGAAATGTTGGTTATTTTGAAGCACCTACAACACAGCTTCACGTTCACTCTCTCAAACTTAATCTCCACTGTTGGTCCACTTGAGATTGGATGGAGGAGGGAACCTGGCTTCCTTCCCCCTCTTCCCCTCAGGCCTACTACCCTATGCTAATGTAATGGTGACTCCCAGGTCTCAGGCTATTAGTACCAGTGATTTAGCTTCATTTTAGGATTTTGTTGACCCACTGTTTATGGTTCTATCTCTATGGAAAAAAATTGTTTCAAGTTCTAAATCAACAAAAATAAAGTTTTGGAGCACAACCCAGTTTTACTCACTGCCTCAACTTTAACCCAAAAATTTTTTTAAACTTAATAAACATTAAATTTAGAGCTTAAGGCACTACTTGCCCTTATTTATATTTTTTACTTTAGCCTCTGTCTTTGTCCTCTTTTTTGGGATAAAGTCTTCAAATTCATAGATGCAAATTCATAGATGATCAGGGAGTGCCTCCCCAGGAGGAGGGCATTTCAGCAAAGATTTGAAGGATGTGATAAATATTCTGGCAATTAAATTCCTAAATTACAAAGTCTAGAGTCAATTTTCTTCCCATAACAGACAATTGAAGTGTTTGCCTTCAACTTCCAATTAAATGTCTTGTTAACTCATTGAATTAAGAGTAAATATAACAGCCTATTAATCAAAACCAACAGTATTTCCACATTCCCACTGTCTTGTATTTCCCACTACAATCTGTCTCATCACTCCCACCTCCACGGAAACAGGTCCCTCCACTCCAGGAACATTCTTCAGCAACTTCCCTCAATCCTAACAGGAAATATGACATCAGTGATTCTCAAAGTGAGGTTTCCCACACCAGCAGAATCAGTAAAGCTCGGTGCTCGTTAGAAATACAAATTCTCAGAACCATGATTAAATCAGCAATGTGTTTCAAAAAGCCTTCCAGGTAATTCTCATACATGTAAAATTTGGGAACCATGTCGTATTTGACTAAAATAATTTGACTTTATTGTGAATTTCTTTGCTTTCTCTGTTATGAATTGAATTGTGGATAATTCGTATGATGAAGTCCTAACCCCCAGTGTGACTGTTTTTGGAGACAGGGCTTTTAAAGAAGTAATTAAGGTGAAATGAGGTCACACAGGCGTGTCCCTCACCCAACAGGGCTGGTGTCCCTGTTAGAGGAAGAGACGTCAGGCATGTGCACACACAGAAAAGGTCTTGTGAGGACACAACAAATCAGCTATCTACAGACCAAGGAGAGACCTCAGCAAAAAACCCACACGCCAACGCCTTGATCTTGGCTTTCCAGTATCTAGAACCGTGAGAAATAAATTTCTGTTAAGCCACCAACCTATGGTATTTTGTTATGGCAGCCCCAGCAGACCAATAAATTCCCCTTTACCTCAAGCAGTGTTTTAATGCTTTTTATCCAGGTATGAACTAAAAACACTTTGAATACCATTAAAAGAAAGTTCTCTGAAATTCCTTTAACCATCTGTAAAACTCATTCTTCGACAATCTTTCACCCTTTTTAGATGATAAAGTTAGAATCCCTTTAAGCCCTCTCCAAGAAGGTAAACCAGAAGTATATACAGCTTAAGCCATTGGAAGTGGATCCAAGTGCAAAATGGGGCTGCTTTGAACATCCATAATCCATCCTAACCTTGGTCTATTCTTTACCCTGTCTAAGCAAAGACTAGACCCCTTTTTTTTCTTCTCCCCTACGACAAGAATGCCTGATAACATGCTTCTGAGCGCACACACACTTCTAATTTATAGTAAAGGATTTTAAAATCACAACTGTATTACCCCTTTTATACAATGTAATGAAGCACATCATTAAACCTTCCAAATAACATCCTGAAAGGAAATTTCAGCAAAAACGGTGCACAGTACACTCTTGAGTAAGAAATACTGACATATAATAAATGAATATTAGCTAACTGATGATATTCATAATCAACCTAATCAGCTTAAGAGCACTCTCCAGACACAGGCCATTTCTACATGCAACAACGTGTCTATGTCCAGTGCAAAGCACACTGCGTTCAATCTCAACATGAAACTACATGATTGGGAACTACATAAGGGAAGTGTGTGATGTGCGTGTGCATGCTTAGATGCATGTAGCAAATTTATACAGCTAAACTGACAGTACAGTGCTACTGCAGTGGCCACATATATAAGAAAACAACTAAGAATTAATCCAAATAAAAATATTATCCTGTCTCTACCATATATCCATGATTACTATCAAAATACATACTCTCATGGGGTTACTTGTGTTTTCTAAAAATTTAAATGATTAGCCACTTTCAATTCATTGGGTACTAAGGTCAAGAAACTGGCCAATCCAATCACCTATTCCCTTCCTCACTTAAATAATACTGACAGTATCATTTACCTATAAAGATACTTCCACATAAAATGCCTTTTAAAAATGGTGTAAAACTCTCAGTAATTATAATTTGACCTGAATATTTATTTAGAAAAGTTCTGCTCCAATTTAAAGAGGCAGTCAAGTTTATAAATAAGATTTCTTTAAAACACACATTCCAAATATTCTTGAAAAGTATTAACTTAGCTCAGTTCTTCTCTTAATGAAGAACTGACATAACCTTTATAAAATTGGGGCACCTGAATAAAAGAAACATTAAGTTTTATCCCAAACACCTTATTTGCTAAGACAGGAAAATACTAATATTTGGGGGATAAATTCAACATGAGATTGAAATAAATGTTGTTCACCCAGCAATTGTAGTTGCTAGATTTTACAAATTACAATAATATTTGCTTTTTCAATGTTTAAATCAAACCAAATAAGCTTCTCATATCTGGAAACCACTGAAAGATGCTAAAATAAGGAGGGAAAATTCATTCAGCATATGCAAGATCATCCTCTCCAACTATTTAGTCATATGCAGAATTCTAAGACAGATGTTTAAAAAAAAAATGCCCAAGAACAGAAGAACACACTCCTCAAAGGCCGGAGCAGAAAACAAGGATCACCATCCTGACTGAGAGTTCCTATATAAGCACCCAAAGGCACCCACCTTCTCATTAACTAGACATCATTCCAGAGCAAGGTCCTTGGCAGGAAGCTAACCCAAGGAGAAGATGAAGCCTTCAGCCAAGGTCAGATTGTTGTTTGTTCACTGTGCCACAGGACGAACTTACAGCAGTTCCTTTCACACAACACTGAGGTCTCACAGGTGTTATTCTTCATTACTGAGGATCAGTGAGTGAACTATAAATAAAGGAACAATTAAAGCATATCAGTTGCACAAATGTTTTAGGTTACAAAATAGCTGGAGATTTACATGAATTCTGCACAGCATTACAAACTGTAAAACAGGGGAGTAAGTTACAGGGGGGTCAGGAATCAGAGTTCTAGCTCTGGGCTACTCATATTATTTAAACTATTTTATATTAAGTCTTGCTCATTAAACACTATTTATAATAAATAAATACAAAGACAGTAAATTTCTGTTTATACAGGACAAGAGAGACTCCCTGCTTTAACCAATTTTAACTCTAGTGTTCAGCACAGTACTTGAAATGATACTTGGTACAACATAAAACTGGCATTCACCTATTTTGTTGAAAGAGTACTTTTTTTTTTAGAAGAGCTAAACACCGAATGGTGGAGTGGGAACTAACCTGGGAGTCAGAACTGGGTTTTCGTTTTCACTGTATCATCCTGGGCAAATGGCAGGGTCCCCAGATCTGTTTTCTCATCTATAAAAGAAAGGAGTGGGGCCAGCTTCTCTAAGATATTTCTTAGCTCTAAAAATTCTTTGTCTACCCTCAAAAGGCTGCTCCTCATTACTTCTCGCAGTCCAAAGGCAAAAGCATCAGCGACCCTATCCATGAATTTAGGGCTACTCATTTCTTTTGCTTATAGTCTCCTCTATCAGAAAATACAGGAGAAGCAGCCTTAAGCTGAGACACAATTTAGATCAAGTTCACTTTAATGGTTCAGAACCTTGGTTCACTGTACTGATTTCAGTTGTTTCCATCTTGAATTTAAAAACCTCCTGTCTATTCTGACTGGCAATAAATAGATGCTCTTTAAAACTTCTTTTCAATCCTTTTAAAAACCTTTGTGGGGTTTACATTTCAACTTCCTGTTTTCCAGCTTAGACAGAATATCCACTCTGTTACTGCTTGCATTGTCTAAGAAGACTGCCAAATGAAATACAGGACACCCCGTTAAATTTACATTTCAGACAACCAAGAAATATTTTTTAGTATGAGCATGTTCCAGCCAATATTTGGAACCCCCTTACACTAAAGGAATATTCATTATTTGAAATTCAGTTTAACTGGGTGTCCTTTTTTAATTTTTATTTGCTAAATCTGGTGACACAGGTCCTGATTTAAGTACTACCAGTTCCCAAAGAAATGTAAAAATAGCTTAAACACTACATTTTTCTTTGGTTTAGAAGGAATTTGGGTCTTCCAATAGCTACACTTCACCCCACTCTGGTCTCCCAACATACCACATTTATAACATTGGGAATGAATTATAAAATAGCCCCTGCCATCTGGCCTGCCTTCCAGGGCCCAGACTAATAGAACTAATAACCTTCATGCTACTAAGATGGAACTTAAAAACATTAAATTCCCAATCTGCAGCTTGGACACTGCTTTATTCTGAATGGCCCTTACTTAATAAAGTTTCTTCTTTATTTTTAGAATTGAGATGTAATTGACATATATTACTTTAGTCAGGTATACAGCACAATTCAATATTTGTATATATTACAAAATTATCACCACAGTAAGTCTAGTTAATAGTTACCCACTACCATATATAGTCAACAATTTTTCTGCTTGTGATGAGAACTTTTAAGATGTACTCTTAGCAACTTTCAAGAATATGTAATACATATTATTAACTATAGTCACCATGGTGTACATTACAGCCCCAGGACTTATTTTATAACTGGAAGTTTGTACCTTTTGACTACCTCACACATTTCATGCACCCCCACTCCCAACAACCACTGATCTGCTCTCTGTATCAGAGTTTGGTTTTTTGGTTTTTTAGATTTTACATACAACTGACATTACATGGTATTTGTCTTTCTCTGAGTTACTATCACTTAATGCCGTCAAGGTCCATGTAGCTACACATGTCAAAAGTTCCTTCATTTCTATGGTTGCATAACATTCTATTGTGTATAGTATACATTTTAAGCAAATTATTAACATGGTTTGTTAATCTTCACCTATTCTTCATTTGCTATATTAGTACTTATACTCATCTACGTTACCTAACATACCAAACCAGTTTAGGGAGATACTTCTTTTGTATCCCCACCTTCATTTTCTACCATTCCTCATACACACAGTACACAATGTCATGTACACAGAAGTTTAACAAGTGTTTCCTAAATATTAAATGTCACTGTAAAACAGTATAAACACAGAAGTTGTGATGGTTTTCACTAAATTCATACTGATTCTATGACAAACCGGGAATTCACTTTTTGAATTAAATTCATATCGACTGCTTGACTTCCTACAGTGCAAGCATAAAATGCATAGAAATATCAGTTATAAGTTTTCTGGGTAGTTGGGTTCTTACTACTAAGCATTTACTGAGCACCTAATAAATCAAGACTGTCTGAGATGTTGCTTACTACACAGTATGACTATAAAAGTAATAACTGATAGATCAAAATATATATTAGAATATACAGCCTAAAAATATTTTAGCACCAAGAAATACCTTAGCTCATCCTAATAAGCTATTGATAAAACATTTCAAACACTCCTATTTTGATTATTTCCTTTAGAATCTAAAGCACTTTTTAAAGAAAATAGCCTCGATTACAGCAAATCTTTATTTTTTAGAAGATACATTAAGAGTCATTTTGTAAGTAAGTTTCATTGGTAAGGTGGGAGGCTCACACTCTATATGTTACAGGGATATTGATAAAAATTTTTATCATAAAACTGTTGTTTATGAGATGTAACTGTCTATGAAAGGCAGTATCTTGGTATTATCTCCTCAATCAATTCAGAATGTCAACATCCTAAGTGCAAATGAACTGTTCAATCTTGTGGGGTGAATTCAACAGAAAAATTCATTTTTCAAAATGAATAAACATGTGTTTTACTTTTTATTATTTATCACTTACTAGTTTTGACCCGAGTGCTTTCTTGGACCCTCAAGGGTTATGTTTTTCTACTACAGACCTTAACTTTTTTCCCCAAATACCATCAGAAATACCACATTTCAACAAGAACTACTATTTCCTTCTAATATCTCTGATAGCATAAATTCTTCAAGATCAGTATAATCTCAAGTCTTCACTGTTTGTCACTTTAAAAGTGTGACACAATCTTTCCACAACCTAAGCAAAACCAGATTTAAATTTGGCTTTCTGTAGTCAACATTTAGACTAAGTAAGAATAAAACAAAATCCCTAGCCTCTTACACATTTTTCTTCAAACCTCAGGTGAACAGATAAGCACTTACAGAATCGTACAAGAACATTTTAGTTCCAAGAAAAGGAAAAGGAATAAAACCAAACTCTTGACATTGTTTTAAACTTCTGGTAACATGTCAGAGGCTCAACACTGTACTTGTAGCAGAAAGAACAGATAACTAGGAAGTTTGTGAGCTGGCCACATGCCTTTTTTACTACTCAGCATTTGGGTAGGTGAATTGACTCTTTTCTCTATAGGGAAAGAAGCCATCACCTTATGTGGAGGGCTACTCTTAGGAATAAATGACATGAACTCTGACATGCAACATGTTTTTAACAATCAGTCCTCTTCTAACTATAAAAGAAAATCAGATTCTTTATCCTCATGACCTTAAACAGTAATGTCGGTAGATCAAGTCCATGTTCTTTAAAGCAAGTGGTCTGAAGTCTCAAGTCTGTTACCAGTGTAAGTCAAACTCTTCATGTCAACAGCACTTACTTATTCAGCAGAATCAGATTATGAGATACTTGCCATAAGCTGAAGCTTATCCTTACAAAGAAGAAAACTTTAAATATTTTACATAAACACCTTCCAACAACATACCATAATTTTCTTGGGCAGTTTTTTAAAAAATCAAACATATAATTAAACCAGAAAGTCATCACTGAGGATTACTACTCATTTTCTTAAGACCTACAATGTGCAGGTACTATGGTAGGTCCTGGAGATACAAACTACCACTGACCTAGACCCTGCCCGTGAGCTGTTCATCTAGGGGTATGCACTTACAAACAGACAAAGACAATAAATGGTACTTTAGAAATACTATTTCCCTGGCTCAAATATATTTCAGCATTCTTTCCACTTTCTAACACTTTTAGTCCATAAAATAGGAAATTCCACCACCGTTTTTTCCATGTGGAGTCAATGGGAATTTGAATCCCCAATTTTTACTTTAAGTGTCTTTCTGAAGTCTGTAATTAAGAGGCAAGACTGAAACCAAAAGCTAGTTTATACAGACTGCTTGTCACACACTAGGCAAAGCAATTAAAGGAACAGAATCTGCCACTTCTCAGAAAATCACAGTTATCAAACTAAGTGCAGTATTTTCTTTTTATGCATTAGCACTCATAGCATTACATTAAGGAAAAAAATTAAAAACAAAGAAAATAAAAAACACCTAACTTTACTCACAAATGGGCACAAAACCTATAAACTTTAGTAAGTTTCAGAGTTACAGATCCACTGCAAAGGTGTTAGGATTATAGACTTTAGGTTATAAAAAGTAACATGTTACCATGTTGTTATTCTTAATTAATGGTCAAAATGATTTAGATGACTTAAAACTTAGAAAAGGCTTGGACTCAGATTTTTCTATAATAAAGGAGAAAATGCCTACAGTGATGCTTATAGTTAGTAAAAGTATTTTTGTATCTTTATATATTATACATTTTACTTCCCACAACTATTATTAAATCAGTAATTTATCTTCTAACAAATATTTGAGAATCAAAGAAATACTGACAATACAAAAGTGATGGCAACATCGACATGGAACTTGCCTAGGGAAGGTGGCACAATGCTTCAACCAAGAACTGACTTTTAAAGTGTGTCTCAGAGGAAGAGTAGTAAATGAGAGGAATTCGGGCAAGGGAGTATGAAGTACAAAGTATGTCACAGAATGAGCTGGCTGGGCACATCTGTAATACAGTAAGAACTCCTAGTATGACTCCAGGTGATCACTGTCACTGTGGAGATGGACAGTACAGGAGCTAAGGGTCTAACCAGACACACGTGAATCGTGCC